AGAACAGGAAGCTGGTGGTCATCGAAAAGAAGAAAAGGCATCGGTCAGCGCGGCACTGGCTGTGGCGTCCTACAGTCCCCTCCATGTCAGAGGTGTGGCATTGGTCTCATCTCCTAAAACACTGACTGATGACGTAACCAAGGCAGCTAGTTCGTGATTTTTTTACTAGACTAGTTATCTTGAGCAGCATCTGAAACTCACGAAAATTAGACAAAGGTCAGAAACTTAACACGTAGGTAAGGCGGCGCTGCGAAGCGAGCAGAAGGGTCTCGGGGCACGCTCGCTGACCTTGACCGCAGAGCACAGACACTTCCCTTCCCGAATCGCAGGATTAAAAACGCTCCCTCTGTGTCCTCCTTCAGCATGATCTGGATACAGGTATGTTATTAACGAATAAAGGCGAGAATCAGTACATGGATTCATCTTTTAAGTTATGCTAACAAGTCTACATCAGCATTCAAACTCCTCCCTGAAGTCTGAAATGTCAGAGTGACTGTGGTGTTAAGAACTGAAGACGTCTAGGGTTTCAGAGACCCGGTTGGTCTGCCACATAGAACAGAAGACTGGGCTATGCTCTTTAGGCGGGGCCCACCCTGAGGCCATCACAACAGTATCTGCTGCATCAAATTACTGGGAGGGTAAAGGCAAGGTTATCAGAGGAAACTGTCATTTACATGAAGTTTTAGAGAAGCCTCTTGACGACCTTATGAAGTCCACAGAACTGGTCTACGGAGCTCATCCCATGTCGTGCAAGTTCATCATAATATTTAACTTGTACAACAGGAAAATGGCGTACGAATGTTTAGACGACACGCACCATGAGTACGACCTGCCCACCTCACATGATTGCTCTAAGGCCACGATGACATAGCATACGCAAATGTGCCGACAGATTGAAGCGATCTCAATAAACTTCAGCAACGGCTACGTTCCCGCAGCACAGACTAAAGCCACGATTGGGTCACGGCCGCGACATTTATTTCCTAGAGCAGTGCTCCTCAAAGTTACTGCGCCCAGGGTGGCGAAAAAGGGGAAGGGAGTGCGAAGTACAAATCGGTGGTTACAAAGGAGTCACGGGGATGTGCAGTGTCGCGTGGGGAACACGGTGAGTAACACTGGACCGAGTGCGCTGTCAGGTGGGCACCGGACATATGTGGGTGGTCACTTCGTAATTTATATAAATGTCGAATCACTATTACACTCGAAACTCATATAACATTGTACGCCAACTGTAATCGGAAAATGAAAATTATCTAAAAAAAAATTAATGTGCCCAGAAGTCACCTGCAGAGCTTGCCAAAGGGCAGATTCGGGCTGGGGAGGCCTGTGTGGGGCCTGGCGTCTGCTAGTCACCAAGTTCTTGGGTGATGACACCAACCCCGGCTCCCAGGACCACCCTGTGCGCAGGGCGGCTCTGAAGGATTGCCCAGAACCTTGGTTCCCTGGGGGGCCTCAAAGGGCCACTCCCTGCGTGATCCCTACAGGAGCTCGGAGTCCTCAGACACCTCATTTGGTTCTGAATAGAGCGCTTTACAAACTCAACAGTGAAGTGCCCTTTCTTGGGCAGCCAAAGGGCCAAAGAGTTGATTTCCAATTAGGTCGTCTGCTGGTTGCAGTTTTCCAGGACAGGAGTCAACAACATGCAAAAACATAGAAAGCGCATTTGCCAGTTTACTAGGACTTAAGTTCATCTCGAAGGGGTGGCAGGTGAAGGGAGAGAACTCTGTAGCTGTGAACACGCACACACGTAAAAAACCTGCCAATTCCAATTGGCAGGAGAGACAAAATTTACTTTTCTATCTGAAGAAAAGGGCTCACAATATCCAGAACTGATACCTGAGCAAACCAGGACTGGCAGACCTGCCTGCCGCTGATACAGGGACCTCCAGAGTCAGCGGAGAACAGACAGCGGCAGGCCCCGAGGCTGGCAGCTCTCCGGCTTGGGCATGTACCAGAATCACCGGCGGCCTGATGAACCCACACTGCTGCACCCATTTCTGACCCAGTGGGCCTGGAGGAGGGCCGAGGATGCTGCAGACGCCGCGGGGGCACGGAGTCTGCCCGAGGAGGGAACCATGTCCCACACACAGCTGCACCCAGGGCCCAGCACAGCGCTGCACACACAGTTGGCCCCCAATAAATATTTGCTGAATGAACTACCACTAAAACGGTCATTTCTAGAAACAACTTTACTACTTGCTTATGTATACTCGTTGCTGGCATCTTGTACACACACATTTATTTCACTTATGCAAACGACCCTAAAGAAAACACCCTATTTAGGCCAATTTATTGCACGCATACTCATGAAAAAAAAAATTGCCTGGAGAGGACACGATTATCTGTGTCCACACTGGAAACCCAGGGATGGTCTCCTTAAGGGCTCGTCCAGGTGCCAGAAACCTGAGCCCTGAGGGCAGCCCCACGAGGGCAGCCCCACAGGTAAAAGTACTGCTGAGGCTTTTGGGAGATTTGTCCCTAGGTCCTTTCACAGTCACGGAGCAGTCGTTTTCAAATCCTCCGCCTGATCTGCATGTTACCATAGTCACAGGCATTCCGAAAAACAGGTGTTTCTGTTAAAATTAGCTGTTTCGAACTGCCAAATATTTTAGATCTCTATGCCAGCATTTAAAAAAGTTTTGTAAAATAACCAATCACATGTAACTGATGCTTCCAGAACGATAAAACTCTAAACTTTTTTTTTTTTGAGAAATATGACTATTAGAAAAAACAACTGTCGTGGAGATGGGGGGCCGGGCAAGAAATAGACACACACGTGTCATTTTTGCATTTCCTAACACCAACCCAGAATGAATAGGAAAAGGCCGAGCTTGAAACAACCAATGAAAGTCTGAGCTGTGCCTTCTAGTTAAGTGTTGTGTTTGAAAGCCTTTGTCCCATTTACTTGGGGTGACTGTCAGAAATAATGGCTTTTGTTCTGAGAACTTGGCCATAATGATTTCCTTCTCATGACCATTCAAAGGAAGGTTTTCAACATCTCTGATCGAGATGGTGCCCATTAAGGCTGTGCAAGAAAACTTGCCCTGGGAAGTCAGATGAGCCTAAGGATTGTAAATGAACTCTAGTGTGGTTTAATGAAAAAAAAGAGAGAAAAAAAAAAAAAAGAAATCAGGCCATCGTAATTTTATTCCTGGAACCAGTATCTCTGCGACCGTATTAAACCCAGTGAAATAGGTCTGAGATGCTCCTTTTTAAAAATCAGGGCTATTTTAAAAACGAGTTTAGCAACCTGGTACATTGGAAGAAAGTTAAAATGCCTAAGATCCGTGCCCAGGCGAGCGACACAGACACATGGATGCTGTGCGTTTTTTGTGCTGGTTTCCAAGCGGAATTCACTTCAAGCCACTTGCTGGAAGAAAACCCCTAACCTTTTATCTTAGGGACAGGGGGGAAAAAAAAGGTAAACACATCACTGAAATTTAACTTCAGTTTCAGAGATTTTGAATATTAAGTGAAAACCTTAAAAATACACAGAAACGTTAACAGCAACTATCACTTCGCTAAAGGAAAAAGAATTTCTACAATTAATTGCGTGAGTAGCTAGTTGGGGGCACCCAAATAGAGAGGGAAAGTGATTGGGGGTCTGAGGGGGAGGCCTGCATTGTCCTGAAAACTGCAGCTTGCTTCTGCAAGAAAAGCGTCCAAAGAACAATTGGCAATTCTTTTTTCCTAATCAAATTTATGGATTTCTGGCCTTAATTTCATTTTTCTTTGTTCCTTTCAGTTCATTCTTTGTGATCTGCAGAGGGTCAATGAACCATATAAACTCTAGCATTACTATGGAAATACAATACATAGAAATAAGTAAAAATCCCTATAGGCACACGGAATTGTCATCAGTACATGGGTTAGTGTTTCCTGTCCCCCAATACTTGCTGAACTTGACTGATCTGGACTGCAAAGATGGGCAGGGAGAGGAGATAGAGCATTCTCAAGGTCATTTTTATCTTTTAAAGACTTTCAAAAGTTAAATCTATCAGGACCTAAGAGAGAAAAACACTAGTTTCCTCGACCGATTTTTTCAAAAGATTTTAAGACTTTTCAAACTTCAAATTCAGAGAAACTAAACAGTCTTAGTCTTACAAGACGTTTGACAAGTTGAATATGACTTTCTCACAGTAAAGACATCTATTCAAGTAAAACAGTCAATATGACTTCCCTCTCTAACATATTATGGTGAAAAATTCTTTCTTTTCAGATCCATGGGAACTGCAAAGGCACAACAAATACCAACAAAACTGTACACTGAGCAAGTTTCAAGCACACATCAATTTTTATCCATGGGGCTCTCCCAGGGAAATCACTCCAAATAAATCTGTTGTACTTTCGGCGGGAAAATGTCCAAAACATCACCAGGCTCAGCAAAATTATATATCCCTTCCCTGCTCCCAAATTTCTGTCTTAAAATGTTTGTAGAAAGGATGAACTAATGTTAAATAACTCCAAATTTCAATTAACAAAGCATTCTTCCAGCATACAGTCAACCAGGGCATATCTTAGATCTAGGTCACAAAATAAACTTTTTCCCCACAATTACATTGTGATCCTAGAAAGTTCTTAACACTTCCGGAATACACGTCCCTTTATTAAGCAATCTAGAACCCTCTCTGCTTTCTTCTGATATCCTGAGTGACCGGATCAGGTCTGAACAGACCTGTCTACATGACAGGCGGCACACTCTCTGGACGGACAGTATGTTCAGTTCCGCTGCAGACCTTGTGGCCTGGGGAGGCCGGCCTACGCACAGGGTGAGGACGGGCCTTCATCTGAGACAGGCAGGACACAAATCAGACTTGCCTTCTTCCTGAACTCTAGGCTGTTCAAAGAAGTAGCACATGGGTTAGCTGGAGGAAAAAGTAGAAAGGGGACTGGGGACCCACCTCACTGCTACTGAAGCCGACTTTCCGGGGTGCCTTTCCAGAGGTGAAATGCGGCACACAACATCGTTATTGAAAATCCACAGTAATTACAAAAAGCCGTCTGAGAAACATAACATTTTAATAGATGAAATAAATACTCCAGTACATGCAAGGTAAAAACTTGACATTGGGGGGAAAAAAATCACTCTATAGTGTAAATTAAAAAATAAAACACACACTCACAGTAGCTTTTCCCCCATTTGCAAATCACATGGCAAAGTCATACCCTTTCCACACCAAGTATACGCCTAATCCAACTTAAAAAAATAACAACATACAAAAAGGTAGCTACATCCATGTCTAAGGAGTGAAAACTGAGGTAACTTTTCTTTTAATTAGGAAAAAAAAAAGACCAAAAAAGAAATGAACCCATGACCTCCTTCCTGCCCAATTAATTAATAATAAAATTTAGCTGAGGGATTCCTGAAGAGGGGCTGGGTTGGGACGAGGGTAACACCGCGACCAGCAGATGCGCGTCGTCCATCTCCAGGTCCCTCCCTACGCGGCGCACCGGGCCCTCCGACGTGCCTGTAAATTGGACGCGCGGCCCTGCCTTCTGGAAGATTCCTCTCCAGCGTTTAACACGGGGCCAGGGCAGGGGGGAGAGGGAACTTTCAGCTATGATTTCTTTGGTATAAATGGAGAGGGGCAGACATTAAGTATCTTCCTTTAGTCTGGGGGTGGAAGAAGGGGGGTGGTTGCAGGTGGGTGGGTGCTAATTCACAGAATTGGAATTCACTGGCGGTAAAGTCCTGGGCGAAGACCTCTCCCTTAAAGCCTGAGATAGCAGGGTGCAGCCTTCAGACACGGCGCAGGCCGAGTTCCTCAGCCTCTCCCTGTGGTCCGACATCTTGGCGCCCCCGTCGGGGTGCAGCGCCAGATCCCTGAGGCACTGGGTCAGGAGCACGCAGGCCGACACCACGCTCATGGCGCCACCCAGGATGGCGGTCTGCACCGCCTTGCCCTCGGCGCTCACGGCCGCCGCGCGACCCAGGAACTGCGGCTCGGTGGCGAAGCCCACCAGCGCGCTCACCGCCTGCACCAGCGGCCCGCTGAAGAGCGCGCAGCGGCTGCGCGCCAGCTCGCTGGGTGCTGCCTTGACCTCGCGCACACAGGCCAGCAGCGCCGACGCGCTCGTGCTCATGCACTTGACGCCCAGCTTGAACTGCTCGCGCGCAAAGCGGTCCCGGGACTTCTCGCTGGCCAGGGCGCAAGCGTCCGTCAGGAACTTGAGGTTGCGCGACAGGCCCTGCGACACCTCCAGCAGCAGCTGCGGGGTCATGTCCGCCAGCGGGGTGGCGCGCAGCACGGCGCAGCCCTGCTCCACCTCGTGGCGGCAGCGAGTCACGCGGTAGCGGTCCACCAGGCCGTGCTGCGCGGGCTGCGCTCCCGGCGTGGCCACGGCCGCCAGGTAGGCCGCGTGGGCGGAGCACTCGGTCAGCGACACCACCAGGTCGCCCAGCTCCACCAGGCTGTCCCCCGCCTCGCCGAAGCGGCCCATGTTGAGCTGGCTCTGCACGTCGTGGGTGAGGATGGAGAGCCCCTTGGTGCGCGCGATGATGGTGTCCCGGCACTGCTCGAAGGACTCGGCGCCGGCCCCGGCGGAGGCGGGGCCCTCGAAGAGCACGGGCCGCGCCTCGCTCGACAGCAGCAGCAGATCGGCCACCAGCTGCATCTTGCCCTTGCAGTGGTCGCAGAGGGACACCAGCCTCTTCCGCGGCTGTGAACTGGCCCCGCCGACGGCGCTCGCATAAAACTGTAGTGCGTGAATATTATATCTTTTTAAACAGATGAAATGTAATTATAGCATAGATGTATTTGAAAGTTGTAGAGTCATCTTGAATAACTATTCGACAACTCTAAATATTATTTAACATGATTATTTTGGCAGAAAAATGTGCATATTTATACTAAGTCGCTTAAGATATTCCTTTGGTCACTTAGGTTTATACGAACACTAGGCTCCGAGAGACTTGCCACCACTGAAGCAGCAATGCTATTCTGAATCGGGGGGTCAGGCCTTCCCCCCAGGTTAAGTCATATTGTCAAAGAAAATGCCATTTTTTAGATCTACTTCAAGCTGGTTTGCTTATATGGGTATAGTTGTACATACGTACATTTCTAAAATCTCAATAGAATAACATCCTCCCTATGTAATAGAACACAGGCAGGTTTATTTCCAATTACTCAGAAAGAACCCGTT